TGTCTAAAACAACATTAAACATGTTTAACTCCATGAAATTATAATTTATGTTACAAATTGGTATTATCTTTTTTTCAAATCGTAATGAAATTTTTTAATGTAGTAAAAATTTAATAAATTTATTAAACTACAATCTTTTCGTAAAAAACTATCAAATTATCTTTTTAAATTTTTACATTTTTCAAAAATTATCCTTTGAACTTTTCATATTTTTTAAAAATTTTTACAAGATGTTTAATGTTTGAAATTATAAAAGTTTTCGAAAATATAATTCAAAGTCATGTTGCTTCTTAAGGTACGAGCCGTAGATCAAGACGAAGGAACGAATGGTGAAGTTTGGTATACAATCATCAATGGGAACGAAAATGAATCATTTTCACTAAACCGCGAAACCGGCATTCTATATCCCGCTGCCGCCCTTCTTGGCAGAGCCGGTTCTTACAGGATTGAAGTCGAAGCACGTGATGGTGCCGGAAATGGCCCACATTCGGACAAATGTTATGTCGATATAAGAGTTACTCCAGTGAATCAACATAAACCGCAATTCGTGATGCCGGAATTGACGAACGCTACCGTGGAAGTACCAGAGGTATGTTTGAAAAAATAAAGGTTTTTTTTTGTACAAAATAAAGTTTACGAATTATTTAAATTAAAGCTAAAGTATAACAAAAATATACACAAGATATATAATACAACATAATAACATAATAACAAGATAACATAATAACAAGATATATAATACACAAGATATATATAAAAATAATATAAAAAATAATTATGTAAATTATAATATACTATTATAAGATGATATATCGATTTTCAGAACGCAGGTGTTCCGAATTATCTAATATTAACAGTAAAAGCAATCGACAGAGACCCTGGCGAGAACGGCCGTGTTAGCTATCATTTGAAGGTCGGCAATAGAAATGTTCAAGAAACTGAGGAGTTCTCTATAGATCAAGAAACTGGTGAACTTCGGTCGAAAATCATCCTCGATCGTGAAATTAAAAGCAAATTTGAAGTAAGTAATATGTTAAACCATTTCTCTTCTGAGCGGAACGATTAGGATTCTATATAAATTTCTTTCAGCTTGTTCTTGTGGCGGCTGATCATGGTAGTCCTACAGCTTACGAGACATTGCGACTATTAACAGTTCAGTTAGTCGATACGAACGATAACGTGCCACAATTTTACGAAAAATATAATTTTCATGTGTCAGAAAATCAACCGAAAGATTATTTCATTGGCAAAGTAACAGCGGAAGACAAGGATGAAGGTAGACATGCCAAGGTCTACTATTATATAGAAGCAGGTAAATATACAAATGCAATATCGTCATGTATATATACAGAATGTTTAAGACATTATTTTCTTGTACTCGTGTTCAACAAATGAAGATTAATTTTGAGTTAGAAAGCTTTAACTGTTTTGCACGATATTTCAATTTTCAATAAATATATATATATATATATATATATATATATATATATATATATATATTGATTGATTGATAATTAAAATTTACTTTATCCTTGCAAATATATTGTTCATTTTTTTACAGGAAACGAAGGCTATGCCTTTTATATGGACAAATCTGATGGTAGTATCTACGCAAATAAGTCATTTGATCGCGAGATAAGAGATAAGTACATCCTCTCCATCCTCGCGTCTAATGATCCCGATCTTTACATCAATTCCATGCAATCCAGTAAGCCATTGATTCACAATCCTGAACACGGACATGTGAACGTGACGATAATCGTGCTGGATGAAAACGATAATCCACCTATCTTTGAGCGTAATGATTATTACGCCGGAGTAAATTCTATGGCAAATATAAACGACTTTGTAACAAAGGTAACCGCATCCGATTTGGATGTGGGTGACAATGGAACTCTCCATTACTATGTCGCCAGCGCGAATCTTTACAAATACGGTTCGGAAAAGCCGAGCGGCTCCATAGTGCCAAGTCCATTTAACGTCACCCAGGATGGTAAACTTGTCACGAGTGGATATATGGCAGAATACAATCAAGATAGGTTTATCGTTGAAGTCATCGCTAAAGAGACGGCAATTCCGGAAAGATACGCGATGACTAGAGTTCACGTAAGTTTCCCCAGTTAACTTCTTTCCCAGCCTAACTTTTTTTATTTCTCTAAATTACTTTTAATAATAAAACATTTTAATTAAATATTCGTTTCTATTTTTTTTCAATTAATTTTTATTGCTTCTTCAGGTATGGGTATTTGAACCGTCTCAGTTAATACGAGTTATACTGTCCCGGCCTCCGGAAGAGGTGAATAGTGAACGCGACGAGATTGTTTCGGAATTATCCAACGCCACGCAAAGCAGAGTCGTAGTGGATGACATTAGATATCACGTTGATGCTTCTGGACACATTCGTAGAGAATGGTAATGACAATACAAATATAATTTTACTCTCTCTGCTATTTTAATCTATTCTGATTCATAAGAAATATGTAATCTACATGAAATTTTTTTGGATAGGTGTGACATGTATTTGCACGTTGTCGAACCGAAAACTCAAACGATTGCACCGATTCCACATGTACTCAAAGTTATCGATGCGAAATATGATTTCTTGAAGCACTATTATGCCGGATTTGCTATTGAGAATGTTGTGGTGAGTGTTGTATTTTAAATTCTAATATAAGATTGTAATAAATATTTACAAACTATATGGAATAAATTATCTTATGATAGAAGAAACAAAATAACATTGTTTTATATAATTATCCAAACATATTGATAAATATGCTTAATCTATTTTTGTTTCAGCCTGCATATGCTGGAGTTCAAGAAGAACCATTCGATCCTGCACTCGCTGCTCTAATAGCTCTCTTAGTTGTTTTGCTCGTAGGAGCAGTTACTGTTACAGTAGTTTGTTGCTGTTTACGCCATTGGTAAGGACAAATGTTAAAAAATATGGGCTTTTATTCTTATTCAATATATTTAAATCTGACGTTTTAGGGTAATAACTGTGCCAAATGATATACGTAAGAAGGACGGCCTAATTAAGAAACAGATCATCGACGAATTAAACACGACAGAGAACCCCTTGTGGATCGAGCAGTAAGTTTTAATCACCAAAAGAATTTTAATTATCAAAAGAATTTTATCAAAAAATGCGTAATATATGATGAAATGTTTTCCTAATTGTAGAAAATTGAAACTCTACGAAGAACAAGAGTTAACGATGCAAGTATTTAGCGAACCCGAAGGTGGTCTCGGTGGCGAGAGACGTGGCAGTGGCGTAAGCATCGGTATGGGAGACACGTCTCAAGATAATACGTACGCTACTATACAGCATCCGTTGCCTACAAACAGGCATCGTCCGACCACGCCAGATTATACCACGCTTCCAGGAAATCATAATGTACGCCAAATCTAATGATCAACATTGTAATCGCGCGGTCTTGTTATACTAATTTGATTAATTTTGATTAGTGAATTTTTTTAGGACATCATACAATTTCAGTAATATGATGTGTACATTACTTTATAAATTGTGATAATTTAACATTAATGACTTGGGAATAGCAAAAAGAAAATGTACATTTTTAAAACATAAGAGAGAGGGATATTTGTTCTATCAGAAATTTCTTTTCATTTGAAAAAACAATATATGTGCACACAAAAAAAAACAAATAGCATTAATGACTGTCAACGTGGCTTGCTTAGAATTTAAAATATAATTTCTAAATAATCGTTATTTTATTTTGCGCTTTAGTTATACGAATCAGCAATGGGTTTTCAAGGATCAACATTCCAGCCTTCCCCGAACGTGATGCCGCAACTGACGCTCGACCGCGATGGCCAGCCTCAATTCGTTTCGGGGCTAGTATAAACTGACTCTGACTATGCGGGCATTTTCAGTCCTCCCCTTGCCATCCCTATTCCTTCCACTTTCTATCTTTAAATAAAGTCCGTTGCCGTACGTTGTACCTCTTTGTCCGCGGCTCTTGTTCATTGCACGCGCCTCTTCGGAGCGTACTCTTCGGGCGACTCGCATGCACACACCTCTTTGACAATAACCGAGTTAAATATTGGTCGGGTTTGTCCTGCGAGTAGACGCGTGTAGAGAAGAGCGACACGACATTCGCGAGATCTGCCCTATCTCTTTCTTTCCCTCTCACTTATGTGACTTTTGCCATGATCAGTTTGAACTCTTCCGCAAGAGCTTGCGAAGAACTCAAGATGAAGAGTGACGACGAACGACACAGTCAATATTACTGGAGTAATTAATCCCTGTAGCTGGTGTGTGCATGTATATATGTGTGCGTTGCCAACCTGGGGTCCCATCTGACTTTACCGTTAGACCTACTTTTTAGGAGAATCAAAAAAAAAAAGAAAAAAAGAAATGAAGAATATAAGCTAGGAGATAAAATAGGCACTGTGAGATACTCGACACGACCGAAGCTTGGCACGACAGATATATGTATATAAGTGAATGTGTAGATTCCGTCCAGCCCAGTTTTTGTATCATTTTCCTCATTAGTTTAATATTTATGCGTTTCCGTACGTTACATACATGCGTTCCAATCGTGTAAACGCATCTTGTACGTATGTTTTACAACGATCACTGCCACATTTTTGGCATCGACACGATGCAGTTGTTGTATCGGTCAATCAAGTAATCGAGCCATTGTTGCTAAGTGCACAATAGAACGTAATTAAGATAGCGTATACACAATTTTTAAGTTATATTGTATATCTAGCGTATTTATTTAAGATAGTACGTTTTAAATGACTGATATTTTTTCTTCCCGATTAAACTGTGATTTGATTGCGCCCAAGTATGAGTGCAATGATTTTATTAACTCGTAATGGTTTTGCACGAGTCACTGGCGATGGGCGGACATAGTCATATCATAGTTAGATAAAGTAATGAAGACGTTCGTAGCGAATTCTATTGCGTCATTATGGCGGAACAATATCTAGCCTTCAAGAAATCGTGTCAAATTTACACTTTAATAGCATCTCCATAAACCGTCCTCGGCTGAGAACATAGATTGTGACTCTCGGGAATTCTCCACGGACGTCGCTTGCCGTAAAAACGTATCGCAACTACGTACTCGATAACTGCAGTAACTTAACTTACGAGTTATTTCTAAGAATATATTTAATGTAAAACTATTATCGGTATCATGATATTACTAGATGGTTATGAATATTCCAGTTAGCAAAAGTATCTGTTTATTAATTACAAATTTATTGTAATATTGTAACATATTTTATGTAAGTCATTAATAAAAAATATTCGTACACCAGACATTCTAAGTTATTGTATAAAATGGATTTACTTCAGAGGTATACTAACTGGCATTTTCAAGAATTTTGTTCATCTTTTTTTTCCTTCATCTCCTTAGGGACATCAGATTTTTGAATAGTTTTGTTCTTTGGTTTTGGCGTATAATCTAATGTCTCGATTATTGCTTCAGGTTGATCAAGCCACAATTTATATCCTTTTGTCGTGGGAAATCGTTTAGTATTCTTACAAGTTAGACATGTCCATTTGATTCTTTTTACAGGCTTTGATGTTAATCTGACTCTAGCTGTTTCTCCAGGTATAAGTGGAGTTTGACAACACTTACATATGCTTCTCTTTAAATTCGGTTCTCTAGAGAAATCAATAATTTTCATTAATACAAGAATTCATATATAATAAAATAAATATATATATATATATATTATATATAATTCTCTTTTTGGAAAGACCAACAATATCTAGGAACTTACATGCGTAATACTGCTTTCTTGGCACAACCCATCATATTATTACCAAAATAAGATGCTGTACATTTATCTACTGATGCCATTAGATGACTAGCCTGTGATGAAATTTTAAATGATATAGCAAGTTTAATAAATTTTTAGATTACTTTATCAAGTCAAGAATATAATAAAGTTAAATATATAAAGAATATACAAATAATATATAAAGAAATTATCGAAAAATATAATAAATTTCAGAGTTTCATTTATATATACCTGATATAAATAATTCATTCGTTCAAAAATATCTTTGTGCTGACAAAGTTTGTTCTTATTTCCTGCAAAGTAACATGAATTAATTACATATATATATATATATATATATATATATATATTTAAAAATAAACTTTAGTAATATATAGCTTACCCATCATGAAATCAGTTTATCATTTATTTTAATTTAGATTAATAATTAATTTTTACATCGAAAAACAAGCATATAATACATCACTTTTAACTGTTAATGGATTCTTATAGCTTTGAGGTTGAGGTTATGATTAAAGTAGACTACTGTAAGCAACATACACATCACACACATATATATATATATATATATATGTATGTGTATATATATATGTATATATACATATAGTATGTAGGAAATTATATACACAATGAAATTGTCATATAAGAAACAACACTTTCAAAATGTTTTCTTTTTTATTTAATATTTTTGTTACAAAACTTTCCAACTGCAAAATTTTTCATATATAAAAATATATACATAGAGATAATTAAAAAAAAAGCTCATTTCACAGTTCTTTTCATATATCCTTATTAAATTATATCCTTAATCATACTTTATACATTTAGTAACAAATATATATATAATATATATATATATATATATATATATAAACTTAATCTATAATCATATCAGTACTTTTTATTTATAGACTACACATTTATATAAAAATTATAGACTCTATACATTTATATAAAAATTAATTATTAAAACCTTTTACAAAAAAATTGAACAGATAGACTTAATTTCAATATATTTTCACTGTATGCAGAATGCAAACCATTAACAGAAAATATGGATAAGTTATTAAAGGCATCACAAAAAGGGCAAGTCAAGAATTGAAAAAGCAATGCGACTATTTGCATATTGTTCTAGCAGAATATGGCTATCATTATAAAGAGGGGGTCACTTATCTTTACTGGGTCTTTTGAAAGGACTTTTTTTTCGGGGTAGTATTTTTTCTTATTGAAATCAAAGGAGATATGGACAATGAAAAGATACTGAAATTAAACCTATCTTCTCAATTATTTTGTAAAAATTTTAAATAATTTAATTTTTATATAAAAATAGTTTAGTGTCAAGGAGTCTTTACATAAAATTGTTTTGATAGAGAACTTATTTCGATTCATAATTGATGCAGCTTCATGTAAAAGGCTTCATAGACACATTTAAAAAATTATTCATTAATTATTCAAAACATAAATTAAAGGAATTCTATTAAAGATAGTAGAATTTGTCTAATTTTAAATGTTTTAAATAATTAATTTTCACACAATATACAATGATGCTGAAAACATCTTGTTTATTATTCTTAATCTTTACTCTTACTCTAACCATGTTAGATCTGGTGTAAATTCGATTTCCGAATCAAACACAATATTGACTCTGCCATCATTTGTAATATCCTTATTATCATCTCTAAAAAGAGAAAACATTCATTTTTGTAATATATTTGTAATATGTATGAAAAATTATACACAAAAAATTTTTTCTAGGAATCAAAAATTTATCTTATTAATTCTTAAAATAAAATAATTTATCATATATTACCGAGAATGTTTTTCTCGTTCACTATCCTCTTCATATTGATCCTCTTCATATTGATAGCCGTATTCTGCTAGAACAATATCCAAATTTTCACATTGCTCTTTCAATTCTTCATAAGTCCTTTTTGATTCCTTTATAAAGTTATTCATATCTTCTATCATTGGTTTGCATTCTGCTTGAATTTGCTCCACTTTATCCTGTTATAATTGATTATACATAATTCCATACAAAACTATATTCAGAAATTATTCCTAATAAAATACATAGCTATATAAATAATAAAAATTAAATATATTTAAGGCTTCAATAAAATATATAAAATAGGAAAATAAGAGTTGAATAAAAGCCTAATGCAAAAGATATCACAAATAAAAAACTAGAATCTTTATAAAAAATTAACAAAATTGAATTTTTTCTTCTTTCTTTAATTAATTATATATTTTGTTTCCCTCTTCTTATTTCAGATTAATAATAGTAGTACAGAAAAGTAAACAAAGTGAATCTCATAGGATGTTTTTTATAACACAATGAATCACTTTATCCTTGATGATTGCCAATAAAGGAACGAGGATATAACGATTCACTGTGTTATACTATATTCTCTGCGTTGCTTGTTGAAAAACGCCTCTAAGCAATTAAACCTTATTTACTTGTTGTTTCAAAACATCAAGAATAATATGATGCAGATGATTCTGCTTAATTAGAGGATTTTTATTCATTTTTTTGTTCATGCCGTTTTTTGCTAAACTCTTAATTGCCCACTTTTTTGTTGTATTGTATAAAAAATATAATATTAACGACAATAATAAATGTTATTACAAAACTAAAGAATTGTAATAATATAGTAATATCATACAGCACAGAATTTTGCAGCAATATTGCGGCAATATTGCAATGTTGTTGCAATGTTACAATATTAATAATATTGCTGTAATATTATGTGCTGTATAGGATGTACATGCTGTATGATAAACATATGTATGTACGTATCATTTAAAATTGAATTTTACTTCGCATATACAGAAAAGTATAAGGTATATCCGGCATTTCGTAACATTGAATCATAATCTGCAGAGGTCTCACTTTAGTATCCTGAAGAGACTTCCATATTTCGTTTAGGCATGCGTTAGTTTCGGTGGTGCGTTCCGCGTAACCGCCGACGAGGAGATGCGGTATTTTCCAAGTCTCTGCGAGTTTATTGGTGCCCTTGTCGATTTCACGCGCTTTGAGCCGCAATTTATCGAAGTAATTTGATAAATCCTTCTCCATGTCACCGTTTTTCGCAGAAAGATTCTTATTTCGTAACCGCCTACCGACAATTGCCGATTTTCAAATCAGTAATAGTTTAATTTGACGCATTGCTACCAATCTCAGATTTTTCTCCGTGTTTCCGAATTGTGTTCGGAAATCCAATCATTAGGTTCAGTGATGACGTTTGATTGGCCAATCGGGTCGAAGGAGAATACCTCTGCATAGCCCGCTTTTAGGTGATCCCTGAAAGCAATGCTCCCTCTATGGACATTGAAAACGTGGACATGAACTACAAAGCCAATGTCCATGAATGTTCTCAGAGGATAATATATAATGTGCACAATTTCTGGTTTTGTTCCGTGCTATGTGCACGAAATGCCGGTAACACCAGTGCTATATAACAAGATACTTATGTATGTAAATTGATAGTAAATAAATTATTCAATTGCGAAAGATACTGTAATATTCAAAGATGAAATAAATATTTTTTTGAATTATATTCATTGTCATATTTATATCTTTTTATTTACAAAACATAAAATGCCTGTTGTGGGATAATAACATTTTTAACCTTCTATAAATCTTCTTAATTAGCAGTAAACTGATCTTTGATATTTATCATTTTTTTAATTATTTAAAAATTTAATTATTAATACATGTATAAAATTTGTCAAATTAATTACTGATTCTTCTGAAGTTTTTATAATTAAGACTCGAAAAATATAGATGTTGCAAAATATTTTAAGTCTCTTTCTTTTATATTTCGACCAATGATATAAATTTTCAAATCCTTGTTAATTATCTTTTCTATCCCGTTAGAAAATATTAGACAATAATATATGAAATTATATAAATCAGATGCAGATAGCATTTTGTAATACCTGCATGTCGATTGTGAAACGATTTATATAATTTCATATGTTATTGTCTAATAATTTCTAATAAGTAATATAGAGATATGCCGTTAACTTTCTTTTCTATAGATAGGATCGCGATCAACATCGGAAAATTATTTATTATAACAGTATGATTAATTAACTTTTATAAATAACACATAATTAAAATCTATATACATATCGCGACGAAAATTCTCGAATCACATATTTCGTAATTATCGTATTTATTCATTTAATCTATTATAATAAGAATCATAGTAACAGAAATCTAAAATAATAAATTATTAATTCGATATGAAATTTTTATGAACAGAAATTATTTCTTTAATATTTATAGATATTTATAGAGTCGAATATAATATGTCGTTTTATCATTCTATTTTTCAATTATTGAAGCTGGGATGGATTAAATAAAATAAATTAAATTAAATAATTTTAATAAGTTCTTTCGAACTTATGCTTTGCATCTATTGCAAAAATATATTAAAATATTAATTAAAAAAAGAAGAGATGAAGAAAAGATTTTTTTGTAAAGATTTTGTCTAATTTATTAAATAAAGGACACGCATTAACAATTATCAATTTTATCAATTTTTGATGCTAATTTACTCTTATAATACGCACTTATTTTCTAATTGCTTATAGCTCATCCATTGTAGAATTTGTTTCTAGATATTGTTTTTAAACTTTACTTTAACTTAATATAAAGCCAAATGATTAATTATTTAAATAATTTGTAATATGATAAATATACATATTAATTTTATATTTTATTATAAATTATAATTTATAGAAATTTGTAAAAATTTTTAGTAATTTGGCTTTATTTCAGTTAAAATAAAGTTATATTCAATATTTAACGAACGAAATATTTATGCTCATTTAGTAACGATCGTTCAATTTCACGATCGTTACTAAATGAGCATAAATATTTCACGCTCTTTTGCCGGTAATTATTAAGAAGGAATAATTATCTCCTCCTTCGATCTCTGATCGAGAAAGAAAATGGCCAGGATCAACGAAAGGTAGGTTCAACTGGCCTGAAGAGTACGGTACGCAGTTAGACGCACGCGGTTAGGGCACGTGACTAAAATATATACGTTATTAGGTGAGGTGATAATTAGGAATAGGTTCCTCAAATCTCGAATAATTTTAATTAATTAGGAAGTAGGGTTGTTAAGATCATTAAATAAAATCATTAGAATTCTTTTATTAATATTAGAGATGTTAGGGCTCTTAAGATCATTTGAATTCTCCCTGTTCTTCTACAATTTTCTATATATATTTTTTCAAAATTATTCAATTATTTTATTTAGTTTAGGAGTTTGGTTTTATTTTATACAACATTTTGATAGTCTAATTTTATTTTAACTTGATATATAGAGATCCATTTTGATTAAAACCCGCTTTAAAAGATTATAATTTGCGGTTCGAGATATAATTACATTTATAATTTTACATGTCATTTAAAATACAAAGAAGTAAAACATACATGTATTGTAAATATAAAAATTGTAAATATACATATATTAGGATATGCTAATCAGAAAATTATAAATAATATATATATATATATGTACTTATTTTTTAATATATATTTATATTAATATAATAATATATTATATTAATATATACTTTACATTTAGTATGCATATGTATGTATAATAAAGATTACGTAAATACAATTAACTATCTATATAAATATTAAATCTACATTACAAAGAAAATCAATAAATAATGTAAAAATTACAACATAACAACATAAAGTACAAATTACAACATAAAGTACAGTTAAATACAATTAAAATATTTTTAACAGTTATGTGAAAATAATGATTAATTATGTATATCAATTTATAAATCTTATCTGAAATATTCATGCTGCATTTTCGACTTCTAAGTACATCGACGCATTATACATCTTTATATTTTTAATCGGTGAAAGAATAAAGAAATTCTATCTGTCTGTCGATCTCTGACACGCGTGTTAGTATCTTGTCTTGAAAATCGGAAATTATCATTCCTTGAAACTCTTTTTCAATGAAGTTTGTTATCTAAAGAAGATTATTTTAACAATTGGCATCAATAAATAATTTCGTAAATGTTGTATTATCATATAGACACAATTTTATTATTGACAGAATTTTAGAACAATGTCGAAAATTATATATAAAATATATAACATGTATAAATTGTTTCATTCGGTATTATAAATTTCTCTATGGTAGATATAGAGAGACTAAAATTAGACATTTTTTGATAATAAATTTATATTTGGAAATTCATAATGTCAACGCGATAACAAATAAATGATATTTTCAATCTAAGTTGACTTGTTGATAAAGACAATCTATCGAATGCTATATACTATGTGACATATATATATATATATATATATATATATATATATATATATATATTAGAGTTCTGCACGAGCTGTAAGCTAATCGATCTGTGGATTGTTTTTTTTCTACATACTAGTTCAGCAGCAAAGGAAAAAGTGCAAGAAAAACTTTTTACATTTTTATTTTAATTGTTGTTTTGTTTTATTTCAAAAAATTACAAGAGTTGCTCAAAATGACTATTCTAATTCATTGTTGCATGAATGGCAGAAATTAAAAGCCGGATTATGTTTCTATTGAATCATGACTTTATCGAAGATTTATCAAGGCCCTAGACTGTATGGAAGTATCATTTCTAGACTGTCGCGTTGAAATTATGAATTTGTGAATCTAAATTTATTATTAAAAAATGCTTAATTTTAACTTCTTTACTTACTATAAGAATTTATAACATCGACTCTGAAACACTATGTATTGGAATAAATAAATTTTATAATAAAATTTTAACAAATAAGTACGAAACTTTTATTCATTAAAATTACCTCGTCCAACTGATCCATAGAATACACATTGTTAATTATGACAATTAATGCTGCAATCTTATTGACTCTCCTCCTATTTCAACAAAACAATACATTTAGAATTAATTAATATTTATAATTAATGAGAACAATAAATTATTAAATTTCTGTATTTTTATAAAATAATATCGTTACCCCTGTACAATGGATTTGAAATTATTTAATATAGTAGATATATCTTCAAGTAGTGTACATTTCCTTGTATTTCTCGCAAGAGTAAAAAGCAAAATAGGTACATTTAAGGCGTAATCTCGCTCTGTTGGTTCATAATGAATAGCTACTTTAAAGTCAAACACTTGTGTCCGCAAATAAAGCATTCGTATTTCAGAATTTTCAACATAAGATAGACATTCTAAAATTATAGGATCAATTTTTTCAATTAATTGATTATTAAAAACACGATTCCATATATTATTATCTGCGATTTTCAAACCATTACAGTATGTCCACCTCTTCCATCCAGGCGACAATCTACAAAAGACAGTCCAGAAAAAAAGTAAAAATTTTCTATCGAAATAGTGTTATTAGGTTTTTTAGTGTTTTAATAATAAATAATTGTTTAATATATGATAACTAATTTCTCAAATATACACACACACACACACACACACACACACACACACACACACACACACACATATATATATGTATCTGCATAAAATATTCTTAATTAATATATATCTATATTTTCCCAAAATATTCCTATAAAGAATCAAATATTAAAAGGAGAATTACTTGTTTTTTTCAAGATTTATCAGATGCTTTTGCAACTGATTATAGGCCAGTGTTTTACATGAAAGATCCTCCGTAATACATCTCCACTTTGCAACTTCTTGCTTTAAACATTCAGTATAATCATTATGTTCTCCAAACAGATTCCACAATGATAAAAATTCCATTTGTTTTAGCACTTCCTAGTATTGAAATAAGAAATATAGTATATCTCTTTATTTAATCCTTTCACATTTAAAGAATAGATATTATATATATATATATATATATATATATATATATATATATATACAAACCAGAAACATATTTTAATTAGAATTTTATTTTAATAAATTTTATTTTAATAAATTCATGACGTTATAGCAATTATTATTATATTACATACAACTATTATATTAATCAAATTAGCCGATCTTTTATTTAAATAATTGTATACGTATTTTATATCCAAATGTATCTACATTCTTAATACGTATATTCTTTAATACGTATATTTCAGTCTATATATCACTCGCTCAAATGTCAAGTCAGAAAAATGAAGTTTGAGAAATAAAGACTTTTACATTTTTCTTTATATATATATATATATATATATATATATATATATATATAATAGATTCGATTCACTTTAAATGTAAATATAATTACATAATGCAATAGATCGTATTATCTACATCTGAAATCTATTAATTATTACTAAAATCAAGTTTAGATAGTCTTGTATCACTTAGTATCTAGACTATATCTCATATATCAATGACTAAACTCTCTTACACATCGACGAATTAACTATATTACGATCAATTATTTTCTTAATTTAAATCTATTACATATCAAATACCGATTTTAAATTTCAAATCTGTAAAATATCTTAATTTTTATAAAACAAATGAATTATTTACAAATGAATTATTACAAGCTATACAATGTAACAAAATTATCTTAAAATTATAAATGTTTTGCAAATTTTTAATACTCGCCGTAAACATTCTACTGCGCAAAAAATTAATATAAAGTAGTAATTGTTACTGTATTCTATAATATTCTAAAATTGAATAAATTGCATGTATATATATATATATATATATATATATATATATATATATATACACATACAACATTGAATATAATATAAATTCTAAAGTTCTAGTATTTTAGGAAAACAGCAATATAAAAATTTATAAATTTATAAAACATGACTATTTAAAAAGGAAAACGTATAAATCATTTCAAATTTGTGACATTTGATACATAATAAAGTTAAGTAAAAACATATAATTAAATTGTTTCTTTTTTTTTATTTTTTAGTATATTTTCAGACATATATGTGTTTAGTATTTTTATAAAGTCACTACATATATATTTTTCAATTATTTCACTGTTGTGATATGAAATCGTTATATTAAATTAGCTTAGTAGATAATTTTTTGATAAAATTTATTATGTTTACCTGGAATTGAGGGTAATAGCACGAGAATACCAAAATATTCGACATAAATTCAAAAGCTTTGATCATAGGATACCATGCTATGTAATCTCTTTCCTTTGACAAATATTTAGCAATTTCCCAAAATACTGAGAATTCAAGTTCCTTCTCTACCGCAAAATGGAATGCATCATCGATAATTTGTGCTCGATTGAGAACATGTATATTCTCATATTCTTTAGAATTCAAGTATCGCCCAATTTTTCGCCAATTCTCAGTATCATAATAGACGCGATAGTACCCTATATTTATTATACAATAAATTTTTGTCGGTTATTAGAATCTTATAATTGATTTATGTTGATTAAATATATTTCGAAATATTTTCTTTCTCATATTTATTATTTAACATAATAACGTTAATAACGGAATTGCACATCATAGTAAGACATAAAAATATATCGATTATATTGCATTTAATGAAATTTCAATATTATTATAGTATATTTTTTGATATCATATATGATATATGATAATTGAGTAAACTTAGAAGCTCATATCTTTAAGGAATTTTGTATAAATTCAAAAATTGTATACAAACATAATGTCTACATTATGTTTAATATATATGTAGACAATATAAGTGTTTATTAATTCAATATTTACCAATTTGTTGTAAATTGAAAATAATCCATTCATCTTTTTCAAGATGTATAATGTCTGGAATCTGCCATGATGTTATCCAAATAATATCTGTCCAAGTTATATTAAAATAGAGTTCTGACTCCGTGGTATAAGTAAAAGGTATATAATAATCTTTCTCTTTCAATTTGTAAAATTGTATATCTATAATTATACCGTTTTTAGAATTTCGTTTCATTTTCAATTCGAAAGGATACCTCTGGGTAGCCCATGAATCTATCATGGTTTTTATATTAAACTCTAACTTGTAATTTAATGCGTTCATTACAGATTGCATAGCATTCCATAAATGACTGGAAGTTGTTGCTTCAGGCTCACTGAATCTATAAGATTTAACATGGCAATATTAACGCTATATGTAATTGATTAATATCATAAAATAGAAAATAACAATTTATGCAATTTATTATCATATTTTAATTTATAATGCAACTTCCATATAAGTATTAACTTTTAAACATTAATATAATTATATATATTGTAATATAATATAAAATAAAAAATATAATATATAACATATAATAAAAAGTCTATATCTTTATTAACGATGATTGAATAACTTTTTATAATTATTACATAATGAATTTAATTTTCACATTATAAATGTTAAAGCTTTAAACTGTACATATATTTTGCTTATATTTGTAAAACTTGATTCTTAAAATATTATTCAATTTAAATTGTTTGTAATTTATAAACTATAATATCAATCTCTATCTCATATGTTTACTAAGAAAAACCCTAATTGAAATTCACTCCACAAAAAAATTTATAAATATAAAATAATAATATAAATCTGAGTCTTTTCAAACATCTATGACTTTTAAATAATAACACAGAAAATACATTATACAAAATTATTATACATTGAAATATTTTCTTTATCTCTACGATATATGCATATTATTACATTACATTATACTCACCGATTATTTAAATATATGTCGATACCTTTTGAAAATATATCAGACGACAATGTTAATTCTAACATGCGCCATATAATGGAACCTATGATAATTGACATAAAAAAGTGATTTAATATATGTACATATTTAAAATGCTTTTATCACAATGTGTATAAGTTAATATATTTTTAATTTAAATTAAATAACAAAATGCTTGTGTAGTTAAATCTAAATAAGCTAAAAAAGTTAAATATATTCTAAAAATTATAATATATAATATATATAATAGATATATAATTATAAAAATTATATATTATATATTATTAATTATTTATTAATAATTATATATTATAAAAATTATAAATCTATAATGTATATAAAAGAATTATAATAGAATATAATAAAAATATAATAGATAAATAATGAATGATTAAAAATATGTAAATAGACTAAATCAGACTATTATAATTACTAAGTTTTATGTTTCCTAATTTAGACAATTTTTTGAAGTCAATAGACATGTATATATATGCTATAATCTAAAAAAATATACTTTAGAAAATTATACCTAAATATATACAAAAAGATGTTTGGTTTCAAGAAGTTAGATACTTTTTTAATTATTGTTACCACAAAAATTATAATAAACTACAAAAATATAGAAATTTTGACATATAAATTTGTTTATAAATGATTTTCCACTTGTAAAATTAACATTTAGAAATTTATAACTATTTAATTATTACTTATCCATACCTTTGACATAGGAAAAAGAAGAATATAAGTACTTTTCGGAATAGCTACAATAATCCATAACAGAATTTATAACGACATAAGTGTTTAGATGGAATAATTCATGTTGAACTTGAACTACAAACAAATCCATCATTCGGAAATTTGGCAGAACCTAAAATCCGATATAATCATGATTATAATCAATCAAAACAAAAAGTCTTTAGTGTATATAAAAACTAGCATCATAGTATGTTAATTAATTTGCTAAAAATATTAAAAATAAAATTTGTATGTGTAAATCTTTTCGTAATAATTTTCATATATAAAAATATATATTTATTTCTTATAAATTCCTTTTATCAGATTTATAGAAATTTAAAAGATTTGGATTATCATTATTTTTTATATTTAAGAAAATTTGTAGAAATATTTAGTAATTATGTACAATGCTAAACTGTTAATTGTTTTGACTGCTTATTCAAATAGTGTTAGTGATAAAATAACCTTCTCGATGATATATGTTTCCATATATATTTTAAAGCCTTCGTTTAACCATTCATCAAACCAATAAGATGGACTGAACAGATTGCTCATATATTTTTGTGCCATCGCACGTGCTATTAAGTGCGCAATTCTTATTTTGCATGCGATAGGATCTAAATTTTCATCGTAAACGATATCTGCTTCTCTAAAAGTCATTATACATGATTAATACATGAAAAATTTTGAATACTAATACAATTTTATTTCAGTAAATTTTAATATATCGATCTTTAATTATATATACATATTACCTGTAAAAAACAAATCCCAATGTCTGTTTAACTTCATCTTCTAAATTGAAGATTACTACATGATCCACTTTCTTTTCAAATGAGACATAAGTTTTTAAGACACTCATCGAATTTTGTAAGTACCTAGTAATATTTTGAATAATATACAGCGAAAATTCCACTTGTGATTTCAATTGCGGTCTGTACAACATGTTAACAGTTTTATTGTTAGCCACATTACTGATCCGATGATAATCAATTACTATTAATGCTATACTATCTAAGGACATCAAAGGAGTCGTGTGAAAATATGTCAACATCGTATTATTGACCGCCGGGTTAGATATTTGTATCGGCATATTTGACAAAACTGTATAATATCGATCATGCTTTATGGAAATATCAAAACGAATTCTCAATTCTGGGTTGTTCCAATACGGAAATATTTGCTGTTTTTTTGTTTGGATATGTGTCATTAACCTGTTGCATTTTAACATTATGCTCAAAATAATTATTACTTTTAGATAATTGCATATTAAGCATACAAAGTATTTAAGAATTGTGTTTTCATATTTTAATATATTTCTACTCACAATATATCTTCTCTTCCCTTTATAAAATTTTCCAAAGCGTTTGTTGTAAAATTATCATTAGCCAAATCAATTTTCAAAAGATATATACCAGGTAACAAAACATCGTAAAAGTCAAACATGACAACATTGTTTTTTCCATAATATATTTGTAATTTAATTTTATAGTCCTTTTCATTACATATTTGTGTTAAGCCCATTTTAATTACAGTCCAATTCGAATTCGGTAAATAAAAATTTATGTGTTGTGTTGCAAACATAATATGAATAGTAATTTCACATATAATGAGAAGATAAGGCCAATCAGTGTGAAATACAACTCGTATTAAATAATGTAATGGCAATATAGTGTCTGACAAATTGTTGTTCAATTCATTGCGCCACACGACATCCGATTTTTCATCATTAGTAGGATTCGTTATTGTCATTGTTGTCATATATATTAAACTACTACTTAATAATAGCTTTATGAATATCATGTTCTTTCGGATATCTATAAAAAGTTTCTTTGTTAAAAACAAAATATTTATAAATTTTATGCGAATTGGCTTCGATTTTTTTACTTTTGTGTGAAAAAACATGCAAGATAATTTATAATAATGCTTAGCAATGCTTAGTAAAATAGGATTAATTACAATAATGATAAAATTATTATATATTATTAATAAATATATAACATCACATAAATAAAAAATAAATGTACAACTCTCATTTTTGAAAACAACATATAAAATAGTTTCCTTGAATTTGTATATAAGAAGACACACACATAAAGGATGTAATTAAGATAATTCCAAGAAGGACAACACAATAAATATAATTATTTCTCTCAAGTTCGATTATCTTCAATATTTCTTCTAGTATAGTTATATGTTTTTGTGTCTTGCATATTATGTATCTCTACGTACACAAGTTTTCAAAATCTTAATCATTTCTTTAAATATGTATGGTAAATTTAAAGATATAGAAAATTTAAAAATGTATGAGAGATATTCTCAACAACTAGATTTTATACGTGATATGATTATATGTTTACTAACATGCTATCTTCGAAATTTGTACGTCCTTCTTACTTAGTTTAGAGTGAGACATATATGAAAAACGAACGATACACAATAAATATGTGCCGAAATCAAATTTATGTGAAACTTTGTTGATACAACAATTCAAATTAAATGTAAAAAAATGCTAAAGGAACATCATATTAATTTTATATTAGTTTTATATTAGTACATGTTATAGTATATTTTGGAACTACATATTAATCTATTGCATGTTCTTCATTTGCGTTGTATTTCTAACTTAACATTTTCTGTGTAATAACAATATAGAATATTGACTTCATTATAAAAAAGTGTTTTAAAGACAAATCACAATATTAAACGTCTTTGAAATAATTTTATAGCTATAGTATAAAATTTTGAACACAATAATTTTATCGTCAAATAAAGCTTAAATAAATTTTGAACACAATAATTTTATATTCAAATAAAGCTTATAGATTTTCCATTAAAATGGTTAAATAATACTATTACAATGTCTAAATATCTTCATGTTACCTGCGATATATGAAAATAGTACTTTCAATAAAGAATTATATTCATTTGAAAATTGAAGGAAAATCTTTTTTAAGAAATAAAATAGTTGCTTGTTATTTCACACATTTTTATATGCATATATTCAAAGAAAAAAAGATATATATGCTAAATATTTTATTCAATTTATTTAATGTCTTACCCTATTTTATAAGGCAACTACAGATTTAATATGAAATAAACGTTTAATCGCGATCTTACTGCTTCAAGAGACTATTATAAACTGACAGCGCAGTCGCTTAGTTTATGCCTTAAATATATAAGATACGTGGTGTCATGTAAACATCATTTTGATTATACATAACATAAGAAAATCCATCGATAGAAGTCAATACGTATATACTTTTGTTTAATCTTTATATTCCGTTTGTGACCGTTTTCATATTTAAAGTCTTTATTTGTAAAGACAAAGTAAATTGTAAATTGTAAATTATTATAAATAGTTATAACTGTATTTTAATTATAATCTAACATCCAAATTATGTGTTTGCACATTTAACACAAACTCCAATGATGCATATATTTCATTATTTATAAATATAATCGTTCGTAATCACATTTCTATAAAAAAATCGTTATATCCATTTAATTCTCAATGAAGAAATATATTTCTTAGTAATCAGAACATCTTTTCTGACGTGCATATCAATTTCGTGAATTGAACATAATGACGAGGGATAATTGTCATTGATTTATTATTGAAATCATTGCTATTGAGAATAGTCCGGAAGATCCGGGATTCGTTTCCTCCTACAGTAAAGTTTCCGACTTCCAATGGATTACTTAACTTTCTTCGCAGATTGATCTTGCGAAATCTAACGTAGAAACAAGCTGTTAATATCGTTTTTCATTTTTAAAATTGCTCCTTTTTTTATCGGATATTTTTATCGGTATGTTACTTGCGTATTTGGTGGCTTCGATTATTATATTATAAAAATTATATGCAATCGAATATTTTGATTATTATCGATTTATTTATTTGTCGCGTTTTATGGCGAATTTTAAATCGCGATTTATCTTATAAAAATTCGAAAATAAATCGGTCAGTGAACTGCATATTTGCAAACATTACGGACCTCAAATGTTTGTCGAAATATCTTTGATTTTCTATATTTACGTGATAATAATTATATCGCGTTCATGTCTATTAAGAGCTAGGTTTATTATATTATAAAAATTATATGTATCGCGATCAAATATTCCACATATTATCGACTTATTTATTCGTCATGAATGCGTGAATTCAAATCGCCTTTTTGCTTATAAAGATTCGCGAATGACTCGGATAGTGAGTACTATATTCGTAAACATTACAGACATCAAATTGTCTATCAAAATATCTTCGGATTTATGTGATAATAATTATATCACGCGCAATATAATAATGTCTATTACATATATCTAATGTAATTGAGGGCGCTTTGATTATTATATTATAAAAGATATGCACACACATATCGCAATCGAATATTCCGAATATTATCGATTTATTTATTCGTCGCGTTTTCTCGGGAATTTTAAATCGCCATTTATCTAATTTAATATTATCGTATAATTTAATCGTTGACTTATACATCGAAGCTTTGTCTATCTTTCCATGTCTTTGAATATTGTCTTTAATAATCCGTGTAAAATACACTAATGATAATAAATATTTTTTATAAATATTTTTTTTTATAATTGAAAAATGGTTGACGGATAACTTTATTAATGACTATTCTATTATTACATCGATTATTAGAGAGATTTTAATAAAATCATTCAATTCTCTATTAAACGTGGCGATAACGCAATTTTTTAATTATATTTTAAAGTTTATAAAGCTCATTTTATCTTATTTAGCTAATCATGCGCGAGATAGGATATGTATTTTATTCTCAATCGCGAAATTCGTATAAAATCGCATATTAATCACAAATAAATTGGACAGTGAATTTTATGTTCATAAACAATACGGACCATAAATGTTTATCAAAATATCATCATTTGTGTGATAATAATTATGTCGCGCGCGTATCTATTGATGGTTTTGATTATCATATTATAACAATTATACGTATATTTCTTGTAATCGAATATTCCGATTATTATCGATTTATTTATTCGCGTTTTAGGCATAGCGCGGAAGGAAACCAGAAATTGTGCACATTATATATTACCCTCTGAGAACATTCATGGACATTGGCTTTGTAGTTCATGTCCACGTTTTCAATGTCCATAGAGGGAGTATCGTTTTCAGGGATCACCTAAAAGCAGGTCATGACATCTCTCAGTCTTCTCTCTGACTTCTGATTGACTTGTCAAAAATTACTCGGCTCTCACAGGCGGATTTTCGAACGCAACTAAGGTCGTTTGGCGCGTACCGATTTGAAAAATTTTCTATATAGTAGCGCCCTCTTCGATAAGTATGGAGCTTCATAATAATACATTCGTACATTCGCTCGAAGGTAATTTCGATTATTTCTTTAATTCGATTCGATAATCGGCTCTCTTATTTATCTTAAGAATATTATTAATAATAGAGCATTTCGTAACTATTAAGCTTTCTTTAGCGTTTTCTATTATTTCTTGTAAAAAAGAATAGTTTCAATTTGTCTCTCATATACGCACACGATACAATTGGTCTTCTTAATAAAATACAAGTTTTTTTTTAGAGAGAAAGAGTGCTTTTTAACTAGAATTAGTTTTTGAAACTCGCGTAAAGAAAGTTACATGGCAAAACTCGTTTAAAAAACATATCTTAAATTGCAGCAAAATCACGGAGAAATCGTCTCGAAGGACTATTTAAGGTGTTCGATAAGTACAAGTTGTCGAATAAAGTGTATCAATTATTGAGACGAAAGAATCTTCTTGAATTTTTCTGAATCTTCCTAGTTATTTGAATCCAGAGAGCTGCAACGAGTTATACAATGTGGTGAGTCAATTTTCTAGACATTCAATTTTTTATCATATTTATCGATAGTGCAGGAAGCGTTAAAGATGCATGATTTAGAATCGTAAACTAAGTTTCGCTGAAGATCAAAGCGGTGATAACCGCAATATATGGCAATATAGATAAATGCTACAGAGATAGTCGGAAATTACTGTCTGCTAGAAACTGCGCTTTCATTCAGTTTTTTGTCATAAAAATAACTCGACTCTATCATTTCTAACGCTTCACGTTGCAGGCTCATTCACTTAAAAAAGAGAGAGAAGCAGGAAGAAAGAGATAGCGTTATCCTGCGATCGAGAAAAATCTAGTCCTTCGTCTCTTTGCATAATGATAAGGTATCGTGACAATTACTGTATTGCGTTCGGCTATATCGCCGTCTAATGAGAAATTCATTGCATGCGCGACAGCACTTTGAAATTAGCAGCAAGAAAAGAACATTTAATATGCAAGTAACATATGCGTAACACGACCTCGCGAATCGTTTCTTCCTGCTTGCGAGAGAGATTTTTACTTTTTATTGATTTCACGGTGATTTGATCTCGTGAACTTTCAATCGAAAAAAGTCACATTGGCACATAGTGTATTATAGATGCGACAAAAACTTCTGGCGTCATTACGACCTAGTAATGTCTATGCACTATCGATAAATTTGCTCATAAAAATGCAAACCGCTTCTTGTCGATCTATATTTTTTCGCTAATTTTCATTAGTGTCATATAAATTACATTAATGTTGATGAAAATCGTTGATATTTCTTTTGAAATTTAATCCAATTTGCTTTTTTAGCGAAAGTATTATTTTCACTCAAGTTTCCTTTTTTTAACGTTATATGTATATTATTTATTATATTTAAATAATTCTCATACATAAAAATTTTTTTATTAAAATTAAATTAATTTCCAATTGAACAATTAACATTTTTTATAGACCTATTGTATTTTGATAGATTCAAGACAATTGATCTTTGCTTTTTCGAACGTAATATACATATATAAATACATATACATACATATATATACATGTAAATATCGGATATTACTTTTAAATGTAAAATGTTATTTAATTAAATAAATGTTTCTGCAAAATTTAAATGTTTGTGCAAAATTTAAAGATTACATGAAATATGATAGTTTTTAGGCCAAATTTTCGCTAAAAAAAAGTTAATTGAATTTTAAAAGAAATATCAAGCATTTTTATCAACATCAAGTGATATTGTTTATCAAATATTGTTTTACAAATAAAATTACGTCTTAAATAAAATTTTAGCAATATGCGGAATAAATTATATTTCACACATGACTGAGATAGAAAAAAATTTGCTTCATATTTTTGATGATTTAAAAATACCATATTATGACTACGTTTCGATAAAATTTCGATCTTTAAGTGCTTGTTAATGATAAACGATCGTTGCAACATTATATTAGATTGAAAAAATCGCAAATATATTTACATTTGCGACCGTATTCTGATATTTCAAGTTCAATAATATCATTAATCCATCGCGACTTGGAAATTACAAAGGCAATTTCTAAAATTACTCTTTATTTTCAGTTCATAAATATTCATTATCACGTATGAATTGTATTAAAAGATTATTAAAACTGCTGATAATGTATACACAGTGTATCTAAAAAAAGGTTATTAGATATGCTATCATTATAATTATGCACTAATAAAGCAAACTAATAATCTGTAATACATGCTTTTTTTAATCATAAAATGTTATATTTATGTCTACTTTGTCATTTTTTTATTTTTTTACATGAAAGACGATGAGTGTTTTATATTTTTAAATATTAATGAGTCATTGGAAAAGACCACAAAACATAAAAGCGAGTATGATAAAAATATATATATTGAGTATTTTTTATGGTTTTTCTCAATGATCAATATATATATATATATATATATATATATATATATATATATATATATAAACGCTTGAAATAAAAAAATAAAAATCTTATTATTAAGGTATCATAGTATTGAATTTATCGGTATTATATATGGAACTGCCAATCTGCTAAGAACTATTGAATAACAAATTTCATTTTTCAATAAGTTTGGAAAATTTCTTACTTCCAAATTCTGGCAAAATATTCTCCATATATTTTATTATTATTGAATTTATGCCATTTTAAATTTAATGAAATCGATTTATGAAACTTGCAAGATTGGAGTATAATATTATTCTTCCTTGATAACACACACAAAAATTATTATCAAAAGGTTATATTAAGTATTTATATTTATTTCTTTATATAATAATCGAAAAACTTAGTT